TCACGCGTCTCGAAATAGAAGAAGGTTCTCTATGAAATTACGAAGGGATCGGTCAGAGTGAGAGAGGGTGGGTTGGTTGCATCGATGGAACCGAGTTGGCAACGAAATTTCGCGAGAGGAGAAGAGGAGAGCCCACGGGAGAGAACCAGCAGGGTTGAGATATTAATAAAGTTATCGACGTCGATGCAACAACGACGTTTATTATCGGAACAAGCAAACAGCCGTCTCTCTCTCTCTCTCTCCCCCCTTTTTCTCGTTTCTTCTCAACTTTTCTCCCGTTTTATCGATTTATTCCTCCTTATGTTCCTCCGCGCCTCTTCGACGTGTCGCTGCGTTTCCGGTTTTGCGGTCGCGAGCAGAAAAACTACTCCGTGTGTGTGTCGCGAGTCGTCTCGACTTTTTCCCTTCGTGTTTCTCTTTGGTCTCTTTTTACGGTTCGAGGGAAAGTGTGTGGCGGTATAAAGCCGTGAATTGTAAGGCAGGCTTTTCGCCTCGTGGCTCTGTGTAACGCGAAACAGATGGCCGGAAGAGAAAGAGGCCGATTATTTTTGCATCGACCAGGACAACGACGACGACCACGCTCTCTTACGGCCTCTGTTTCTTCCAGCCTTTTTCCTGTTTCGGAATAAAGGGGGGGATTACGTTTGACGAGTCGTAAATCGAATGGGAATTAGAGCGATTCCTCGGGGAGCTTGGTTCCTAGATGGCTGTGTACGTAGATGGCTTTTTTTCGGGGATCGAGACAAAGTCGATGAGATGATTTCGAGGAAGGACGACGTTTGTGACACCTTTCTTTTGGATTATCAATCGTTGATTTTTCACCTCCCTTTTCAAACAATTACACATATCGATTCGCTTGAAGAGGTAATTTTTTGGTTGTTTTGTGACTCCTTAATTTGGACTTCATTTCGGAAAAGTTAATATTGACCGACTTGAAAATCGACCTTATCTTTACAGTGGTTCATGTTCAATTGAGATTACTTGGAATTTTTCGCTATTTTAACCACGATTGCTTTGAATTTTCTTGCAATTATCATTCAACGTAGGAGATTTAAGGACCTTCTCTATTTTGGTCTCCATTGTAGAAGAATCATATCGACCGACTTGAAGAGAGAGAGAGAGGAATTTTTAGATCGCGTTTCTTCGATTTCTCGTAACTAAGATTGTGAGTGTGATATCGTTTGTTTTTCGCAGATGGACAAACAGTACCGACGCTATGCGAGCTGGCGGCGCGATGCGTCGCCTCTCATATCCCGTTCGAGCTGGTGGAACACGTTTATCCACCGGTGCCGGAACAACTGCAGCTCAGGATAGCGTTCTGGAGTTTCCCGGACAACGAGGAGGACATCAGGCTTTACTCCTGCCTGGCGAACGGAAGCGCGGACGAGTTTCAGCGCGGCGAACACTTCTTTCGATCGAGGAGCGTCAAAGACCCCCTGCAGATCGGTGAGTGATCCAGAAAATATTCCATCGATCCTCAATTTCCCTCGTATGTTCTACGTTGAAAAAAGATTTACATTTATAATTGGCTATCGATCACTTTCCACCTTTTTACCATTCAACGTGGGAGATTTGTCAAATTTGTAATTGCAGGTTCCTTCCGAATTTAGACCAATATTTCAAACGCATCTCTAAGTTTTCTCCTTTTTCTTTTCAGTAAAGCTATTATGACGTCGCTGTAACATTTCTTCTCGTTTAAATATTTTTCTCGTTCGACACGAACCTACGAGATGACCCAATTTCCCACGCGAAATTAGTAGAATACCTGTCGACTCTGACCCCGTAGCTCTGCTCCACTGCGTGTCTGTCCACTTCCGGCACATACTACTGCCGATCTCGTCTTATTCTCTGTTTTCAACAATTTTCAAAAAAGAACGAAGAAAATTTCATTCAACGAGCAATCTCATTTCTCGCGAATAGAAAGACACTTTCTACACCTGTTTAAATGAAAAACGAAAATGGGGGGGAAAAGGAACGTAAGACAGAGGATTTCGGCTGCACTTAGAGGGGTTGGTTGGTTATTAGACCGATAACTCGGAACAGCTCTCGTCGGTCGACAAGGTGTATCGCGATTCAGGCGTCTGAAAGTTGACCAGCTTCTTTATTCGACGGACGAAAGGGGCATTGTGTAAAGTTCTCGAGAGGCAGAAGGGTGTACAGGGAGAAGCGCACACCGTTCGCCTGAAGGCTTCCCTTTTAGAAGGGAAGCAAGATGGGATAGACATAATTGGAAACCTGACCCCGACGTTTTCCCTGTCCGAAATAGTGTCGCGGAATCTCTCTCTCTCTTTCTCTGTAAACTGACGCTGAAATGAATGTAATATATGCCGGGCATCGATGAACGGAAGCGTTTCCGGTCCCTTGAGGAACTTCCACCCTCGACGCGTTATCAATTAACGAGCAAACAATTTCAACGATTTACACCGTTCTTATTTATTCTACGCGTTCCATGGAATTTATTAAATCATCCTTTCACTTAAAACAGACACCTAACGAAATTTCCAATTTTTTTCACCTCTTTTTAAATTGGAAATTTTCCATGGCAGTCGAAGGATTTCCACAGCAGAACTTTTTTATCAATCTTCCAATTTTAATTTTCGACTTTTCGTCGATGAAGAGGTTCGGTTCTTTCCTTAAGCAAACAACGATAGGTACGAAATAATTTCACTTTCGTCTAATTAGCCGAACGATGTTCGAGAGGAGCTTGCAAATCGACTGGCGAAATTTCATCCTTAATCCGATTGTTTGACCAAGCGAGCCGTTCCCGGCCGGTTAATTTCCTCGAGCTAATTTGCGCTGCGCTCGAGATGCGGGACGCCGGTGTCTTCCGCTTTGTATTCCGTTTGTTCGCCGTCCACGGCCCCGAGCGTTGTTTCTTAATGCGCTCGAAATGACGTCTTTATCTCTCTGGCCCGGCCTCAGGAAGCTCGTTTCAACTTCTTGTCGCCCACGACCACGCTCCCTCCTTCTTGCTCTTCCTCGTACGAGTTTCGTCGCGACTCGAAGAGAGGAGAGACAATCCTCGAGTACTCGAGGCTACTTTCAGAACTCGCTGGAAACGTGAAATTTTCGCCTATCGATATTTCCTTCGACCGTTACCAACTCGACCTTTTTGCAAGTGATCGGAGAAAATTGGAAAATTACGTCGTTTTATTTTATTAGCAATCAGAATGCATTTCTGTGAGTTAATTTGCTGACTTGGGTACTGTTTTCAACAGCTCTTAAAGCGTGATGAGAACTCGTCCATTGACGAGTCCTCCTTAAGGGGGTCTTCTAGTGTGACGACCGTTTTCTAGGCCTTTCTTGCTAATTTATTACAGAAGTACGGTAACAGTTATTAACGTGAGCTTTATTCCTACGTATTTACTTGTCCTCGGAGAATCGTTACAAATTTTTTTTGTTCGAAAATAATTAGATATGGCTGCTGTGAAACACGTCAAACAGGAGTATAACAAAATCCAAATAATTCTTATTTAGTATGCATGTCGCTATGGTCGGTAGTAGAGTAAGAGAAAAATATTGAAAATGAAAAAAATGGCGGCACTTTGAATACGAAGTATCGATTTTTCCGACTTTTTTCGCCTTTCAGAGGCTCTAAAAATCAGAAAAATACATATTTTGGCATAATTCTACTACCGATCGTAGCCACACATGTTCTGAAGACATGTGCAAAATTTTCCAAACCGTGGCAACCATTTCAGAAAACATGGCTCCGAGAAAAACGCGTTTAAAGTTTGCAGTGCAATTTAGATTCTCCCTTGATACGATTACAACTATAAAACTTGAGGAGTACATTCTTAAAGAGCTGTACTTTCGATATATGCAAAAAAATAAAAATCGATTTTTTGAAACCGTCACACTAGAAGACCCCCTTAAAGTGTCCAGCTTTTCAGCACCTCTTAAAGCGTAACGAGTCCTCCTTAACCATCAATTAGGTTAATTGCTGGCCATTTTTAATGATCACGTTTAAGAAATTGCGGAGCTTTGTGAAACGACGATTACAGAGAGGACATTGGTGCATGTTTGATAGGATTCCACCTGAGCGCCACCGTGAACGCACAGGGGGTGAACGCGCAGGGGGTGATGAATGGCGTCAGATCGCAGTTCAATGTTGCTGTGACGTTCGATCGACGGAAGATCACGACATGCAACTGCACTTGCTCCTCCACGGCCTATTGGTGCGCCCACGTGGTCGCCGTTTGCCTCCATAGGATACACATGGTAAGCAGAATTCGTTCCAAGGTGTGTCACATCTTGGAAAACAGCGTATTCGGTGTAGAAAATGATTTTCAAATGTCACTTTCCTTCTACGCTCCTCGAGGTTTCTCGATGTCTCTGATAATTTCACAGGGACTCTCGCACGTGAGAATCTTCCGCGAGAACTCGTACGTGAAAAGTCTTCAACGCTCAACTAATCACTCGTTCTCGTCGCAAATTCTAAACGACGCTATCTTTCGGTAGAAGTAAATTTTGCAAGAGACCCTAAATCTTCTCTAGATCTTGGAGAAATGCACGAGAAAGATCTGCTCAGAGACAAATAACGATCTCCGTAAATCTCGTGGAGCAGTTGTCGTTTTAGCGGGAAGATTCGATCGATCTAACCGTGTTAGCAAGATTTAGGCCTAACAGTCCCCGTTGTCTGTATTCCAGCCGACGCAGGTGTGCCTGAGAGCTCCAGTTAGCGAATCCCTGTCACGTTTGCACCGGGACCAACTGCAGAAGTTCGCGCAATATCTCATCACAGAGCTACCGCAACAGATTCTGCCCACTGCCCAGCGTCTGTTGGACGAGCTGTTGTCGGTTCAGCCGAGCACCATCAACAGTTTCTGCGGTGCACCGGATCCCACTGCTGGCGCCTCCGCGCACGACCAAACCTCCTGGTACCTCGACGAGAAGACGCTACACGACAACATCAAGAAGATCCTCATCAAGTTCTGTGTACCAGCCCCGATAGTCTTCAGGTGAACGTTCTTCCTTAAACTTTTTTTTTTTTTCCAAAGTGTCTCTTCGTTAACACGTTAGCGTCGGATGACGACACGTATGCGTCGTTCAGGGTTTTCACTGGAGTACGGATGACACGAAAATATCCGTCTGAAAATAAATTTAGGAAACGCTATAGATGGTTCTGTTCCTTCGTTAAGATATTCTCACGAAAGATGGTCCAAAGTGAAAAATTTCACTCTGAAATATTTTATACACAGTGTTTCACACACACCTGTGTATTTCGACGTATTTTCAACACAATTTCTACACTCGAACGAAATGTTTGAAATTGCAGCGATGTTAATTACCTGTGCACAAGCGCGCCTCCTGCAGCCGCCGAATGGGCCTCGTTGCTGCGACCGTTGCGCGGCCGTGAACCGGAAGGCATGTGGAATCTGTTGTCGATCGTCCGCGAGATGTTCAATAGGAACGATCGTAACGCAATACCGCTGTTGGAGATCATCACCGAGGAGTGTATGGCCTGCGAGCAGATCTTGGTATGGTGGTTCAACACGAAGGTAGCGTTGCTAAATGGAACCGGATACGGTGGCAAGCACAACATGAACAACAACGCGCACGCCTCTCAGCATGCGTGTTCGTCGTTGTGCGACGAGATCGTCGTTCTCTGGCGATTAGCCGCTTTGAATCCTGGACTCTCGCCTGCTGAGCGCGAGATGCTTCATGGACAGTTCACTGGATGGCATATGAAGATCATCGACAAGGTACTCGCTGATTTTGGAATAGAGTTCGTTTCTTTTTTTGGATAAAGAAAATTTTAATTTTCTCAGCACGAGAAGATGTTATTATTGTTATTTGTGTGTGTGACAGGTGATGAAAAGTCGGGGCAGTTCGGTGACGCACAATTCACAGAACAAGAACAACTATTGCGTCTACAAGGATTCGCTGAATAACGACGTGGCCGTGTTCACCGGATTCAAATCGGCGCTCGAGGCGTGCTATCTAGATTGGGAGGAGTACACATTGCCTGGTATCACGTACACAGCCGGAAGCAATCCCATGTATCATTGTCCGTTCACGTGTTTTCGGCATGCAGGCGATGCTAGAACCGAGGTGAACCAGGTCGGTGATAATTGAAATTTTTCTTATCAATTCCTTCTGTGCGTAGAATATTTCATGGTCAGGTAAAGAGAACTGCAAATACAAAGTTTAGGGACCACTTGTTAATTTACAACAATAGCAAATTTGCTGTGTAAGTTTCTAATTGTAGTATCGGGGCCTCCATACCCAAATAGGAAACCTACAAGGGAGAATAGAGAGGGAGTGGTTGGCGTAGCGCGCAAAGCCTCGGCTTGCTAAGCCGAAGGTCCTGGGTTCGATTACCGTTTGGGTACCCTAAAATTTTTTCCGTCGATTCCTACATAATTAATATTGCAGAGCTCTGTAATAGCCTAAAGTTGAAAACATTATTAGTGTTCTACATTATTCTGTATTCATCCAAGGGTTGATGAAACAAACGTGAAATATTCTACAGATAAAGAAATCTTGCGCTCGTTTGAAAAAAAATGAAAAATGACCGTTCTTTACCGTCGATTCTAGGTGAATTCGAGCGCAGCCGTGTTGAATTGCCAGCCGCCCGTTTCTCACCATCATGGAAGACGTCTGGGCCTGAATCAGGGCCTGGTGGAATTTAGTTACATGGACAGAAGGCGGCTGAACCCGCGAGAATGCTCAGGACTGTGCTCGCGGAGCGGTGGAGGCGACGGAAACCGCAGCAGCGTCAGCTCAGAAGGTTTCTGCGAGAACGAAACCGACATTCCCGATATTTCCGAGCCTCAAGTAGTTCTCGTTAGACGGTCTTGCGCTCAACTAAATAATTGCCGGGACACGGATTCGCAGGTTCGTCTGGAGAATGAATTTCACGCGTGAACGAATGATTTATTGTAGTTAGAAACCTTCGAATCATTGAAATCAGACGCGATATTCTTCGACTGAGAATACTCTCGAGCAACGTATGTACTTGCAAACGTATCGACAATTCACCGTCGTTATCTCTTTCTACAATTAAATATATATCAAACGGAACTTCCTTAGATTTACAATTATTATACGAATAATTTCACCGTTGTATCGCAAGGTTTACTTTTAACGAACAAATCAAGATTACGAGGTGAAAAAAGAATCACAAAGTTCTCGAAAGATCAATCACGATTACGATTTGATAACAGTAGCAACGTGTATTTCAGGAGGGTGGCGGCAGCGAGTCGTCGTCGAACAGCAACGTCAGCCTGAAGAACGCTCAAAACTCGGACAAGCACCGCTCAAACACCTCGTCCGAGACCCATAGTGATAGTAGTGATAGTAGTAATAACAAAGCTGCCTGCGACGCGAAGTGCAGCAGGACGAATTTCGACTACCGGGAGAAATCGCGAACAGTGTTGCCGAAGAGGATAGGTTCGAAGAGCGAGCAAGAGTCTGACCAGGAGAAAGATCCATCCAGAAGACCCTCCAAGGACGAGAGTTCTTCTTCTAGCAGCGACAGTCCGTCAGGGGACGAGTATCACGTTTACTATTACGATCCGAAGGCTGTGGTGACCGCGAACGGCGCATCCAGCAAGGACTCGAAGAACGAATCGGAGAGTAGTAGCACACCGAACGCCAGCACTGTGTTGGGTGATTTGATGAAAACAGAGGATCCGTGGGACATCCTGTTCGCCAGAGCCGAAGGACTCTACGCTCATGGACACACGAGGGAAGCGTGTATACTTGGTGTGCAACTAGGAGAGGAGCTGTTGGCGAATCCTCCGTGTCTAATGGTCGACGAGTTCCCGCTGAGTTTTAAAGCAAGAAGGAGGAAGGTTAGAGATTCATTGGAAAGACTTGGTTTCTTTTGTTCGATTCAGTAAGGCCCCGTTCCAATTGTTCAATCCAGGCACAATGCGTAACGAAATACAACGACTATGTTTTAGCAACCAGTAAGGTCGACTCCCCATCATGTCACGTGCCTTGCGACCGCTACCCTAGCCAAGTGTTGCTTCCTGTGCACGGTCCTCGCTGAGAACCCGGAGTACTATAACTTGGCGTTTAGAGTGGGACTTTTTGGCCTGGAGTTGCCTAGACCACCGGCTAATACTAAACCACTGGAGGTGAGCGAAGTAAACTCTTCAGATTGATCGTTTCAACTGAAAGGGTTAACGACGTTAATTCATTGACGAGATAAAAGGATGTTTGATAATTTAATCGGGGTGTAAAGGTGAAGCTGGCTAATCAGGAAAGCGAACTGGTAGCCCTTCTCAAGAGGATTCCACTTGGCCCAGCTGAATTGGCGATGGTCATACAGAGAGCTGAACAACTGAGGGACGGCGTTATACGATGTAGAGGCTACGCTCTGCTTCCTATCATGCTGGCCAGTTTCATATTCGACGCCCTTCACACCTCGAGTACGCACCTTTGTCATTTTTACTTGTTGTTGAAATATTTGGTCGGGTAAAAGGATACGGTTTACGGGATTTGAATTGGGGACGAAGGATATCTTATTTCAGACAAAAAAAACAAAGAGTTAATGTTTAAATAGTATAGACAGAAGGTAAAAGATTGTGGAATGATTCGCAGGACTAAAACACCTGTCCCCAGACGTTGACGAGAACCTTGGCTTCGACGCTGCTGTTGCTGCACTGGGCTTGAAGGCGTACGTGAGCGAGGCTGAGCATCCGCTTCTTTGCGAGGGCACTAGGCGCCAGAGGTAATTTTTTTTCCCCCCAAAATCATCGGTAATTATTTAACCCTATTTATCGTCTAATCTTTTCAGAGGGGATTTAGCTATTACTCTGCTTGTACATTACAAGGACGAGCCAACGAAAGTGGCGAGAATTATGGACAAATTGTTGGATCGAGACGTTCACCAGCTGATTAAATCTCCAATTCGTAGTAGCTATTACACCTCTAATCCTCCAACCAAGAGCGAGGTAGTATAAACATATCCTTGTGATAGCTTAATAATGTGTGAGTTTTTAACAGAAAAAATTGAAACATGAGTTATTCGTATATCAGATAGCGAGATATCATCACGACGAAGAATATTTTTCCCTTCTTGCGGGAATGGACGCTGGAAATGGCGATAGTGTTATATTTGACGGTAGCAGTAGCTGCTGTTGGCAACCACACAGTAGCACTAGCGCGGAATTAGAATGCATGAGTGCACTGACAGTTCAGCCACAAATGGTTCAGCCACCTGTGTCTACAAGGACTAAAGATATAAGGTTAGGTTTCGTAATAATTTTATCTATAGTATGTCAGCTAAAGTTTCTATGTAACTTCGTTAAAATAATAATAAAAAAAGAAGAACGAAGAATAGAAGATAGAAAAGAGTTGGAATCCTCAATTTCCTAGTTGTTACAGATATAAAAGCAAGAGACTGTGCCCATCGATACCCAACCAACCATCAGAGGCAGGCGCACACTTTGTGTGCGAGCTGGCGAAGAGTGTCCTCGCGAAAGCTGGAGGCAACAGTTCCACATCTTTATTTACCCAAGCATCCACCAGTCAGAATCCTCACGGACCTCACAGAGCTCTGCACATGTGCTCCTTCCAACTTGCTCTATACGCTCTTGGGCTTCATAACTGCGTTACTCCCAACTGGCTCAGTCGCACTTACTCCAGTCACGTGTCCTGGATCACTGGACAGGCGATGGAGATTGGAGCACCGGCGATTTGGTTCTTAATTGAAAGCTGGGAGGGACATTTGACGCCGCCTGAGGCTGTCGGCATAGCCGACAAGTCGTCCAGGGGAAGTGACCCCAACATGGTTGGAGCAGCCGCGCAACTCGCTTTGTCTTGCTTGCCACATGCTCACGCGCTCAATCCAAATGAAGTGCAGAGAGCAATTCTGCAGGTAGGAATTGTGTACTTGTCTCTGTTGGAAGCTGATTTTTCTTTTAATTGATGGTTAAATTATACTGTGTGAAACGATTATTTTCCGTTTAGTGTAAAGAGCAAAGTGATCTGATGTTAGAAAAAGCTTGTATCACGGTGGAGAAGACGGCAAAAGGAGGTGGAGTATACCCGGAAGTGTTGTTCCAGGTGGGCAAATATTGGTACGAGTTGTATCTCAAGGTGCGTAAATTGTGTTGGAAGAATGTATTATACAACAGGATGTACGTGAAGATTTTATTAATCGATTGGAATGTATAGCACACTCCTGGCGGAGAACAGCAGATGGACGATATGCCACCTGCTTCGTTGGATCTGAACGAGGACCTTCATTTACTTCTGGTGGAGCCTGGACCTCCAGTGGATATGTCCAAGGCGAAGATGATGCCTGGACCAACTCAAGCGGTTCCCGTGACCAGTACTCAGCCACCTCCTCAACCACCTCCTCAGCCATATCCAACGCATCCAACTATAACTACACGAGCACCTCCGGGTACATATTTTCAATTCTCCTATTAGCTGTAATCTTTGCTATAAAGATTTTTAAATTAATGATATTTTATAGTGCTCTTATTGGTTCCAGTAGTTGGTATACCGTACGCAGTGGGTCCTTACAGCTACGTACACCCCCATCATTCTGTCCCAACTTTTGGTAGCCCGATGCCGTCTCATAGGGGTACTTTACCACCAGCACCGCCACACATGCAAATGTATCACGCGGCATTCCCGCCTCATCCGGGCCATCCACAGCACCCGCAACTTCCGCAACATCCGCAGCATTCGCAACATCCGCAACATCCGCAACATCCACAGCATTCGCAACACCCGCAACATCCGCAACACCCGCAGCATCCGCAGCATCCGTCACAGCCCACGCAACCACCAGCGTTGTCGCAATACTACACGTCGCAACCTCCGCCACCGCCGGGAACCCATCATTTGTTCACCATGCAACAGTCGATGCCGGTAAATGTAGGTATCTCGATGCAATTCGTCGCGATCAGCTGTGGAGCAATGTTCGACATGTAACGGTTGACTGTTACTAGGTTCAGGCAGGAGTAACTGGGCCTATTCCTGGCCAGAACAACATGCCTGGATCGGCGCTGGTACCAGCTCAACCTATAATATCCACTGTGAGAACTCAGCCACAGGTAATTACATTACTTGGACTTTATTGTAGATTAACAGTGTTATTTTAATTCTTATTTACCCACACAGGTTCACAGGCAAACTCAGCCTCGGGAGCATCGAGCTCTGGTCGCGGCATACCGCGTGGGCATGTTGGCACTGGAGACTCTAGCTCGTCGCGTGCACGACGACAGATCTCAGGCTAAATTCGCGCGGAGTCCACCTTACGGCGAGGATGTGAAGTGGTTGTTGAGAGTGTCGAAACGTCTTGGTACGCAGCATCTCCAACAGCTTTGCGTCTGCACGGTGAACAGCATCGTCAGTCCCTTCGTCCTCCATGATCTTGCTGTGGAAGCAGCGCTCTATCTAGCTAGGAATAATCCAGCTCTTATGCTTCAACACTTGAGATGTCCTTTCTTGGCACCACTTGTCAGCAAGTGTCAACAAATGTTAGTTTCTTCTACTTCTCTATTTCACTGTGCTCTTTGAAGCGTTAACGATGGCGCAGGTAAGAGTTAATCGTGGTTTCTATGGTGAATTTCAGGTACTTTCAGTGCTTGCATCAGAAGCTGTACCACCTCACGACAGGTGAGTACGAGGACTTTGTGAGTGTCGTCCGTGCAGCTAGAGCAGCGTTCCACATTACTCCTGAGGGTCATGTTCAGTTCAAGGAGTGGCTACAATCTATTAAAAGGTATATATTGTCGCAAATAGTTAACATACAACACTTGAGATTTCAGTACTAGGGCTTACTAAAGAGACATTTATTAAAACTTGTTCCTTTTTATTACAAAAAAAAAAAAAAATAACATCAATCCATTACATCAGAATTCTACAAAATAATTTTTAATATATACCAATACTAATTATAACAAAGTTTGCGAGTTCTGTTTCGCAGAATCCCTCATCTCTGCGTAGAAAAAAAATACACGTATCGCATGAATGACACAGCGCTGTTCTATTGTGAAAAATACCGTTTATTCGCAGATCTAAATCGTGCAGCAAAGAACTGTGGACACAAATCAACGCGGCACTACAGCCGAACGGCAAATGACACAGAGCTGAGCCAGGCGTGACGTGGCTCAACTCTCTTCCTCCTCCTCCACCGCCCCCGCCACCACCACCACCGACGACGACGATTACCCGCGTTCTTCAGCGTCAGCGTTCTCATCGTCGTATGCGTCCACGGCCTGGCTACCCTCGACAAGCTGGAAAAAGATCTCCATAGCGTTCATCGTCGACGTACGACAGTCACGTCGGCAGTGGCATCGATCTCGAACGATCATCGAACCATCAGGGCAACTAGAGACGGCCGATAATCGCTTTGTTCATCTCTCGTTCATCCCACAACATGGAAGGAAATGAGGAAATAAAAAAAAAAAATAATCGATGACTCCACTGAACGCGAGAGATATAATATTTCTTGACTTTAGTTAATGTATCTGACAGATTAAGCGAGAGAAAGAGAGCTAGATGAAGAGATAGATAGATAGAGCGAGAGAGAGGGAGAGAGAGAAAGAGAGAATTTTTGGGAGAAAGGACGTGTGTACGAGAGAAAAAGTGAGAGGTAGAGAGAGTATGACTATACTTTTAATTAAGAGTACACGTTAATGTATGTGCATGGCAGAGAGAGAGAGAGAGAGAGAGAGAGAGAGAGAGAGAAAGTGAGAGAAAAAGAGTGTGCAAGGAATGACGTCAGGTTTTTGCAATTGAACAATTTCAACGTCACCGACCGTTTCCTGGAAGATCAAGAAACGATATTATATGTAAACGATTGTAGTAAACGCATTGGGAAGCATCGTGTGTTGTTGCGTACGTCAATCGCTAAAGGCACCATTTTTTTCCTGCGTTTCAAATGAGAGATAGAAAAACAGAAAAAAAATAAGAGACGAAAGAAAAATAAACGTACGAGTTTGAAGAGGGGGTTATTAAAAGAAAAAGAAAAAAAGAAAAAAAAATAGAGGAAGAAATATGGAAGAAATATGACACGTCCGCATCGTTGGATAATCGATAAAGATAAGAAAAAAAAAAAAAAAAAATTTCAGGTTTCTACGGACACGAGAGCGATCATCAACAGGAATCCTTACAGACGGAGAATCGTTGGTTCGACAACTCGCGGAAACTTCTTTCTCTTTGTTTTTTAGTTAAGAGCTCGACGAAAGGAGAAGAAACCTCTTTAGCCGCGATTAGATAGGAAATTTTTATTTCTCATTCATAGATAGGATGAATTGTCCCCGCGTCTTATTTTATTTTTGTAAACGAGTAAGCAAATTTTTAAACTATCGATATATAAAGCACGTCTATTTATATAAAAAATGGAGAACGACGGTCATAATAATGATTGCATAATAAGGGGAGCGATGAAACTTTACGTAAGGAAAGAGAAAAAGAGAGAGCGAGAGAGAGAGAGAGCGAGAGAGAGCGAGAGAGAGCAAATAATATTGAAACATCGTAGAACAACGTCGGCGAGAAGAAATTTTTTATATAGAAGTGAGAAAAAAGATAAGAAAAAAGAAAACACTTTTTACTTTTCCTAAAATGGCGACCGACCCTCGTCCATCATTATCGCCACGAAACCAAACACCATTTCTCCTCTCCTCCCTACTTTATGTTTCTTTTCCTCTTCGTTATACTTTGCTATCGATTATATTCTATCAGTTCTCTATCTGAATTTTGTTTCTTCTTTCTTTTAACCTTTTTTTTTTTTATCGTTTCTTCAATTATACCGTAGGCGTATATAGTATACACGTTCGCAAAACATAATCTCGTTTTCTTTTGTCATTACCGACAAATCCATAAACGGAAAAATGATCTCTGTAATTTTTAAATTAAAAATAATTTGAAGTATAAATAAAACAAAATAATAGCTGAACGTTGATGAATTGGAACTTCAGCCACCTATCCGTTAATAATTGCGACCGATGACTTTTACCGCCGCAGAAAAATAAGAAGCATGCGTTATCCTGACCGATTTTCTATTCAGTTCTGTTTCCTTTGGAATAAAACGTTGCTTTCGTTTCTCCCGTTATCCCGTCGTCCATTCTGAACAATCGAATCCGTTCAGCGTCGGATAACGACTTCGCAAACAGAATTATTTCAATAAGTAACGTGCGCGCGTATTTCATCGTCGAGCACAAGCTCACCTGTTCCATCCTATGTGAAATTCGTTGAAGCTGAAACAACGTGTGTACAAAAACCGTTCGAATATCCTTGAAGAAATTCGTCGAACGACGTCCACCTAATTTGGAAACCGTCTCGTTTACCTGCGTACTTTTTATCAAGAGAGAAACAAGAAAAAAAAAAAGAAGAAACTTTCCCAGCTTCTTACTTTCGTTGCCTTCTCATTCTCATCTTTGGAACAGTGCCAAGCGACTGGACGTACCGCAGCGGTTTATCGTAGACAGTAAGAAGAGAAGGGGTTAATAGAAGGACGAGAAGAAAGGAAATAACGAAGTATGGAGACACGAGTAAAAGAAAATGTCGACCAATTAAGGGATACCGCGATGGTGGAAAGAGCAATGTTAAAACGTGTTCTAAAGCGCGACACTGCGAGCATTTAAGGGGACGTAGTAATATTGTTTTCACGTATCCGCAGAGTGTTAAGGCTCGAGCAGAGGAAAAAAGCAAATTCATCGTCGTTGCAGAATTTCTGTTTCGCAAGATCGAAATGAAAAATCTGCGAATCGATAAGAACGTAGAGGAATAACAAAATATATTTGTCTAACGAG